TCATGTTTGCTAAGAGTTGGAGCTGTCCACATGTTTTAAAGTAAAAATTCCATTGCTGGTGACATTAATTTTAGCAGACTCAAAATAGTATTCCTAATGACACAAAGAAAGTCCATTTATTCAGTGGCTGGTTTATTTCACAAGCTATTTGTGAATTATTCAGCTTCTGTCTCTGGGTTTCCTGACTAACAAACAGCACCTGAGTCTGAAGACGGTAAGTCCTCAGCACGTTGAATGCCATCAGTGAACCTCATCCTTGTGCACTGAAAGGCTGTTTGAAGTTGTTAAAGAAACTTGTGCTCTTGGGTCTCTCACTGCATCTTTAGCAAATGGTGGTAGAGCTTGTTGTGAGCAGAGAGGGGCTTATTATAGAGTGATGGTTCAGAGGAAGGTCTTTGGAGTCAGACTTGGGCCCAAAGTGCCAGCCTCACAGTAAGCCTGACCTGAGAAAAAGGAAGAGGGAGCTCTCATCAGCTCTTTTAGGGAATAATAGTAGAGTAGTGGTGGCTGGCACATAGTTAAGTGCTCAGTAAGTGACAATTCTTAGGTGTTTCTTTTGTAAAAAGGAAATGGAACTACAGTATATGTTTTATTTCACTCATATGCTAATGTGCCTAGAATGTAGTGGAATGTACAAACATAAAAGAACGTAATGGTGCCTTTTTATTTTACAGGGTTCTGGAGTCAAAGTTCTTGAGATTAATAATGGCAGGAAAATCATCACTTTTTAAAGTAATTCTCCTTGGAGATGGTGGAGTTGGGAAGAGTTCTCTTATGAACAGATATGTAACTAATAAGTTTGATACCCAGCTCTTCCATACAATAGGTGTGGAATTTTTAAATAAAGATTTGGAGGTGGATGGACATTTGGTTACCATGCAGATTTGGGACACAGCCGGTCAAGAGCGATTCCGAAGCCTGAGGACACCATTTTACAGAGGTTCTGACTGTTGCCTGCTTACTTTTAGTGTCGATGATTCACAAAGCTTCCAGAACTTAAGTAACTGGAAGAAAGAATTCATATATTATGCAGATGTGAAAGAGCCCGAAAGCTTTCCTTTTGTGATTTTGGGTAACAAGATCGACATAAATGAACGGCAGGTATCTACAGAAGAAGCCCAGGCCTGGTGCAGGGACAACGGTGACTGTCCTTACTTTGAAACAAGTGCAAAAGATGCCACAAATGTCGCAGCAGCCTTTGAGGAAGCAGTTCGGAGAGTTCTTGCTACTGAAGATAGGTCAGATCACTTGATTCAGACAGACACCATCAATCTTCACCGAAAGCCCAAGCCTAGCTCATCTTGTTGTTGATTACTAATGAGATTGTCAGTGCATTCTAACCAACTCATGTGTATACACAAAATCAACATGGGGGAGGAGAGAGAATTAGCATTTGCAGCAGCATATCATCTACTAATAAAAGTAAACTAATGTATATTGCTGCTTCATTAGTTGGTGGGAGAAGGGACACATCCACTCACAGAGGAATGTATTTACTTAATAATGGCACCTTACATTTATAAATTGTAATGGTTGTCTAATAATGTTTCTTTAATTTAAATATGTAAGTTACAGAGCTAGTAAGAGATGACCAAGACTTTAATTATAATTAAAACAAAAAACTTGACTATTCTAGAGGTTATACTTGGATTTTTTTTCCTGGGAAATTGGAGAACTACTTTTTATGTGTGTATATTTTTATGTAATTAGCATTGTATTCTTGGTTCAGGGAAAAACTTTCCTAAAGCAATACTATTAGATATTAAAGATTAAAATCTAATGCATTTGCAATGCATTGTTACTTGATTACTTCATTCTCTTTAAAATAATTTAACTGCTCATAGTTTTGTTCTACATATGATTAGAATCTACCTCACTAGTAATTACTTGTCATTTTTGTGCCACACAAGCATCCCCAACCCACCCACCCCCAAAAGACAGAAGCTAACTTTATCTTAAAGGAAATACTAAGAAGGACTGTCCTTTGTGAGGGTAAATGAAGACGTCTTTATTTGGTCATGTATTTATTATCTTCTCTGTCACTGAACATTGTTTAGTGATTTGCTCTCAAAGTTCTCTTTTGTTCTAAAAAGAGAACTTGCTGCAATGACCAGACTTGCTAAGGCAAATTGGTGGTGTTTGGTGGGTCAGATTCATATGCTGTACTTTTGACAGTGACCTGATCATATAGAGGCAGACCAAAGCCTAGACTGGAGTTGGTGTGGATGAGACCCTTAACTGTGGAGCAATGGGGTTATCAGGCAAAGTGCTGGGTGAGGAAAGATTTCTACAAATTAGATTGATGCATTTCTTTCCCTGGCCCCACCTATTGGTAACCACTGAAAAACAGTAAGCAAAGCTTTTGAAAGTCTGACTTCCCAACATAAGGGACAATTTTGCCACATGGGGAGATTTTATGGAAAAACAAAGGTAGGTGACGAACAAAGCAGGTGGTGACTGTGGCAGCAGGAGTGATGAGTAACAGCTGCTGGGCCTCCCAGGCAGAAGGAGAAGCAGCAGCCCAGACCGTGCTCCACAGGCCCGGGAGGAGGGAGGGCCCCTGGTGGTCTGGGAGTTGCCCACGATCTCCAGATAGGTTTTTGCCTTTCTGTGAACAGAAGGCCTTTTAAGAGAGTTCAATAGAGTTTTAAGAAAAAAAGGCAAACTACTGAACTTGGAGAATACAAAAATGTGCATTTGACAACTGATGCACCAATTATAATTCTGTCAGTGGACTATTTAATATTTTCGTCACTTTCTTCACCCTTGTGAAAAGTTCCCTAGTTGAAGATAAAACATCCCAAATGTCCCTTAAAAACCTTTTTATATGTCTATACAAACTTAAGTTTTCACTTTAATGACACCACAATGCAAGTTCTCTCAAAATATTAGTGTTTTGTAGGGCAGTAAAGTATTAAACAGAAAAATGGACCAGTGTGGGTACCTAGTGAAAGGTGGAATATGGACAATCTGGTTTCTGGGTCTCTGTGGACTGTCAACCAGGAAGTGTTTAAGTGACTAAAAAGTTAACAGGTGTGGGCGGCGCCTGTGGCTCAAAAGGGTAGGGTGCCAGTCCCATATGATGGAGGTGACGGGTTCAAACCTAGCCCTGGCCAAAAAAAAGAATACCTACTACTTACTGATAAAAAAAAAAAAAAGTTAACAGGTGTAGCATGGGCAGAACAGAGAGCCTGGGAGTATCTACGTCCATGGGAAACACAATGAAGCATCCCCAGAAATTTCCAGCTGTAGCAAGAGGACAAAACTAGGTTTGTGCATGTTATCTGGATTACTTTTGGAGTGCTAACATAGATAACCCACTTAGTGTTGACATACATGTGCCCAGTGGAGCCTGATTTTCTTAAGACTCATTTCATCCCATTATTCTTATGTTCCAGAACTTTTTTTAGGAGGCATCACCTGCCAGATCCAAGCTTTGCCAGCTTACTTATCCTAATGATAAGCCCCTGGCTTTCTGTTGATGCCAGTCCTGGTTCTGTCCTATCAGCTGTTGGTCCTCCCCATGTGCCCCAGTGCTCTCTTCCACACCTTCATGCTTGTGATGCTTTCCTGGGTGGCCTGCCTTGGGAATCTCCTTGCTCAGCTTCCTTTGGAGCCCCCTCAAAGACACAGTCACATGTGAAATCATTCACTTAGCTTTGGTTAATATATTCACATAGGGTTCATCACCAGTTCCCATCTCATCCTCACAAGCCCAGAGAAAAGGATGGTTATGTGTAGGGTACCAGTGTTGTTCAAGTGAGCCAAGGCCTGCACTCAAGTCTTCCCACTACCATGACTTCCTGCTGTTCCCCGTGCTGCTATTCCTGGCTGCCTTGCATTACAGCCCCCTGGATTATATGCTTACTGAGGGCAGGGCAACTATATACAATAAATACATACACAGTATTTGGGTGTATTAGCATGGTAGAAACTACTCCCAGACTTCTAGATGAGTATATATACCTTTCCTGTTCCCAAAGTTCTGGCATGTAGTTTTAATCAAACTTTGTTCTGTATAATGGGTTAAGATCTATTAGTTTGCACGTTCTCGATAAGGAAAATAGGACTAAAATGCTGGTGGTAGTGGTGGTGGGCCACACTTAAAACTGAGTATTAAACTACTATAATCGTAGAAAAACATCTTTATTTAAGAAATCAAATAAATAGGGTAAAAACTGATGGTAGCAATTTCACACAAGTATATAAGACCAAGCTTAGAATTACTTGCTCAAATTCAGAATGGAACAAAATTCTTCACATTCTCACAATTAACTCAGAAAATATACAATTACTTGTTTTTCCATGGACATTCGCTACTTTACTGTAACATCACACACCCAGCCCCCTCCAGTGTACACCCTAAAAGGCTAATCATACAAATGTCAGTGTACTTCAGGCTTTTCTCTGATAGCAATTCTAAGACTGCTTCACAACTTTTTATAAGTATAGACATCAATAGGTTCACTTAGCATTTAGTTCAGTGTCTGAAGCAACACAGGTCACTGTGAATTATAAGTGGTCCCAGCCTCCTATTTGATAAACATGGATCTATAACTGAAAATTCTAGTGGAATCCAGACATGACAGAGGCAGGCCCATGACATTTAGCACTGCAAAAATTTTCTTCAGCTTCTCAGGTAGTGCTGTGTACACTGTCGATAAATTTTTATAACAAAATCTCTAAATGTATAAGTAAGCCAATGTATATACTATCAATTTCCTTACTGTAGAATCTTTTTAGCTTTAAATCTATCAAACCTCAACTATCACATTTGTTTTGGAACTGTTACATCAAGATCAAACCATACAAATTAGGAAAGTCAAAACCTTATTCTCAAAACTTCTAAAATAAAAAATATTTTAATATTGATAAAGAGCTCTTTATAAATAACACTGTTTACAAGCAAATATTGATTTATTGATAAGTGTCATGAAACAGTGTACTATGTTTAAATATAACAGCAGTTTCATTAGTTTTAGATAAATTGACAGTACAAGTAAAGTTTTCCAGGCTATTTAATCAAGTTACTTACAATGTATACATTCCTGAGTATACCCCATTGTTGTAACATTGTTTTGGAGTTCTTCTGCATTCAGCTTAAAAGGTGTTTCTTCCCAAGGAACTGAACTTTTCTGTCAAATGCGCTTGATCGAATAGGAGAATTTGGTTCATAAAATGGATTCATTGCAAACTAAGAAAGAAGAAGGTATTAGTAAGCTTGTCAAAGCAAAAAAGCTAACAAATCATTGGTCTCTAAAGGAAATTATTTTAAAGTTTTCAATTATAAATCATCAAAGACATTCAAAAGTCTGAAGACCACATTTTTAAGTTTCATTGAAAACACTATATTGTGGCTTGGCGCCTATAGCTCAACCAGCTAAGGCTCCAGCCACGTACACCTAAGGTGGCAGGTTCGAATCCCCAGCCCGGACCCGCCAAACAACAATAACGACTGCAACCAAAAAATAGCCAGGCGTTGTGGTGGGCACCTGTGGTCCCAGCTACTTGGGAGGCGGAGGCAAGAGACTTGCTTGAGCCCAGGAGTTGGAGGTTGCTGTGAGCTGTAATGCCACGGCACTCTACCCAGGGGGACAGCTTGAGGCTCTGTCTCAAAAAAAAAAAACAAAACAAAACCACTATATTGTTAAATATTAATCATCTCCTTAAGGAAATTTTCTCTTTCTCAATCTCTCTCTCTCTCTTTTTTTTTTTTTTTTTTGGTGTTTTAGTTTTGAGAAGAACCTATGGCAAAACTGATGGCAGTATGATAAATGATAAATGTTGCCCATGTAAGGTAAATTAGCTCAGGATTCACTCTACGTGTGAAATACTTGTATTCATTATAAATAAATGGATTAATCTGTAAAGCCCCTTCGCTCCACAAAACAAAAATCTACAATATGCTCAGAGTTAAGAAAGTTACACTACTATTAGAAGTTACTCTTGTTTGGTAATTTTTTAACAGTCAGGTTTTTAATAATCTCTAACACAAGGCTAAATGATCAGCTTCTGAGCTAAAGTATCATAACGTGAGAGAAAATTATTACTATTAAATGCCATCACTAATGAGGGAAGGCATTACCAATTTTTATACTTTAATCACTTGATATCCATCTTTATAAAAAGGACTAAATATTTGCTACCTCTGAGTAGGAATATTATTAAATTTTATTATTGTGCTGATATGCAAGAAATCCTATCCAAATACAGAACATGTTGAAATCATTAAGAACATACTCTTGTTAGCACTGCAGTTTAACCATGATGTCCTATTACTGTTATTGTTTGATTTGCTATCAAGAATGGCACCATTCATCTTGAGCAACTATTTGATAATGTAAGAATCATTTCCTGCCAGCTTATGATCTCACTGCAATGTAACTTATTTGTAAAGTAGGTGGAAAACATTTTATTTATTTATTTATTTTTTGTTTTTGAGATAGTCTCATTTTGTCACCCTTGGTAGAGTACTGTGGTATCATAGCTCACAGCAACTTCAAACACCTGGGCTCAAGTGATTCTCTTGTCTCAGCTTCCCGAGTAGTTGGGACTACAGAAGCTCACCACAACGCCCGACTAGTTTTTACAGAAGGGGTTTCACTCATGCTCAAGCTGGTCTCAAACTCCTGATCTCAAGCAATCCACCCGTGTCAGCCTCTCAGAGTGCTGGGATTACAGGTGTGAGCCATTGTGCCCAGCCAATGGAAAACCTTTTAAAATTACAAAGCCACGTTTTCCTTAAGTAGACTGCTTCCTTGGTCTCTTTAGGGTTCTCTAATAAAATCAACAATATGCACCAAAAGGGGAAAAATAAAACGCATTCACTTTCACAATCATTTAAAAATAGCTACCATGAGTTGTTTTCTTAAATACATATTAACTTTGCTGTGAATACTTGTCTGTTGAGGAAGTTGCCAGAAATAGTTCTAACTGGGGGAAAGCCAGTCTGAAAGGAAAACTGCAGCATATGGAGTTATTTATTTCAACAGTCCAGTTTCCTGTCAAGGTTAAAATCCTCTTTGATAATCAGATTTAAAAAATTATAGAATACATCATACCTTTATATATAAATCATAGACATCAGTAAAGAAGTTCTTTATTCCATCTTCTTGCCTTATGTCATGAAGCATAATAAATCTCATATGTGAAATAATTAAGGTACAATCTTTCTTAGAAATGAAAAAAACAAAGCAATCAGCCGATGTGATATTCTCCAAATTAGTCACATGCAGTAGATGTTGCAATGGAAAAGTTGAATACATAAACTGGTTTTAAAGTTAGTTTAGTTTTATTTTAGAAAACATAATTTTTTTTTTTTGGAGACAGAGTCTTACTTTGTCGCCCTTGGTAGAGTGCTGTGGCGTCACAGCTCACAGCAACCTCCACCTCTTGGGCTTAGGCAATTCCCTTGCCTCAGCCTCCTGAGTAGCTGGGATTACAGGTGCTTGCCACAATACCTGGCTATTTTTTGTTGCAGTTTGGCCAGGGCTCCGTTCGACCCCGCCACCCTTGGTATATGGGGCCGGTGCCCTACTCACTGAGTCACAGGCGCTGCCCTAGAAAACATAATCTTTAACTATAAAATAAAGTAAAATTACTTCTGATATGGTTCAGAAAAACCTTAGTTTGATGTATGAGACTTAGCTTTAGAATTAGCTATAAACAAAATGTATTTTCCCTAAAAAAAAAAAAAAATAGCCCCATCAACAGAAATTTTTACTAACTGTCTATTCATTCAGTGCCTGGTGTCTATGGTCCATGTTCTGGTTTGTTAACTTGAGCTTTAGTTAGGTATCTAGGACAAATAAGGATATGTCCTGCAGTGACAAATGCTGACACAAACCACTCGTTGAACTTGTCCACAGTTTTTAAATACATGTTGTTTGACAGCCACATGTTCTCATCTACCAGGTCAAGAGCAGCATGAGCTATGAACTGGTTCAGATGACGGTGGTCATCCTAGATGCGGGTGTGAACAACAACAGATTAATACTTCTGTACAATATCAAGAATGCTGACATTTCACTCTGTAAATTCTATAGATGGTTTTCTTGTGGGGAAACCACACTGCTTTTACTCTAATTATTGTTACTGTGAGACTTAGAAAAGAAGATCTGCGTTTTCACATAATGTTCTATTTTAAATGTTCTGTTTTGTTATCTAAATCTCAACAAAAAGCACAGAAACAGCCAATTACTTAATAAATGAATTTTTTTGAGACAGAGTCTCACTTTGTAGCCCTTGGTAGAGTGCCATGATGTCATAGCTCACAGCAACCTCAGACTCTTGGGCTCAAGTGATTCTCTGGCCTCAGCCTCCCAAGCTGGTGGGACTACAGGTGCCCGCCACAATGCCTGGCTATTTTTAGAGACGAGGTATCACTCTGGCTCAGGCTGGTCTTGAACCTGTGAGCTCAGGCAATCCACCTGCCTCAGCCTCCCAGAGTGATAGGATTATAGGTGTGAGCCACCACGCCCAGCCATAAAAGAAATATTATATTATTTAGTTAGGTATCTTAATTACTTATACCTAACTAAAATTATTTATACAAAATTATTTTTTATGGTAAATCTTATTTATTTATTTATTTATTATTTTTGTTGTTGTTGCAGTTTGGCCGGGCCTGGGCTTCAACTCACCATCCTTGGTATATGGGACTGACACCCTACTCACTGAGTCATAGGCACCGCTTGAAAATCTTATTTTTTATAGAAAATTATCTTTTTCAATGTTACAAGGAGGAAGTTACCAAATTCTGTAACCATTTATTTAGGCATGTGAAAAAGGAGACTATTTTTTAAAAAGGTATATCCTGCTTTTAAGGAGCTCTTAGAGGAAAAAGACATACAAAAAGTGTGGCTAGGGTGGTGCCTGTGGTTCAGTGGGTAGGGCGCCAGCCCCATATACCCAGGGTAGTGGGTTCAAACCTGGCCCCGGCCAGCTAAAACAGCAGTGGCAACTGCAACAAAAATAGCTGGGCGTTGTGGCGGGCGTCTATAGTCCCAGCTACTCAGGAGGCTGAGGCAAGAGAATCACTTAGGCTCAAGAGTTGGAGGTTGCTGTGAGCTGTGGCCATGGCACTCTACCAAGGGTGACAAAGCTGTCTCAAAAAAAAAAGAAAAGTGTGGCTAAAGGTGAACACCTGACGTAGGCTGGGTCTAAGGGGGCAGAGGGAGAGCCATGGAGAGGGGGTGCTGCTCACACCAGGCCTTGAAGGCTGGGCTTTCTGTATTGGGGTACCAGGAGGGCAGTGGAGATGGCTGAAGAGGCACTCATAATGGGTGCCACAGGCCTCTTTCAGGTGGAAGGAGATGGCATGGCAGGGGGACCTAGGAGTGGTGGGAGGCCATGCTCAGCCCCAGCTGTGAGCAGTCAGCAGCAGGATATAGCCCTGTCAGAACTAGGAGTGTCCCTTTTGTGGGCTGAAATGGCTGAACTGGAGAGAATGTAGAACTGTCCTACTATTATGTGGAGAGGAAATTCATAACCTGGAAAGCAATTTTATTCCAATGTAATTCTTTCCAAATATTTTTCAAAAAATACTTCTGTTGAGTTATATCCCCTCAAAATTCCTATGTTGAAGTCCTAAGCCCCAATACCTCAGAATGCAGCCTTATTTGGAAAGACAGTAATTGCAAATGTGGTTGGTTAAGACAAGGTCATACTGGAATAGAGTGGGCCCATACCGGATTAGGGCCCACTCTATTAGGATTAACTAATTGATGAAAAGGGAAGATTTGGAGACAGAAAACACATGTAAGAATGCCACATGAAGATTGGAGTTATGCTGCCACAAGCCCAGGAACTCCCAGAAGCTGGTAGAGAGACCTGGATAGATCCTTCCCTACAGCCTTCACAGGGAGCAGGGCCCCCGCTGACACTTTGATCTTGGACTCTTGTTCCCCAGAAGTATGAGATAAATTTCTGTTGTTCTAAGCACTCAGTTTTGGATACTTTGTTACAACAGCCACAGGAAATTAATCCAGCCTCCTTTCTGAGGAGGCTGTTCCCGTAACTGGGCTGCAGGAAGGATGCCAATCTCCCTGGAATCCCTCGCAGTGCTAAAGCATGTTTACTTCACTCCCGTTGTCATGGTGAAACTAAGTGAATCCTTGAGAATGGACATATTTTATGTCTGGCTCACAGTCGTGTTTTCCATTACTTTACACAATGATCCATCTTGAGAGATGAGGAGTAAACCGTATAAATGCTTTAAGAAGGTGAGTGGTAGCAGGAGAAAGAACTAAGGTTAAGTCATGTGACAAAGTATTTTTATATGGCCACAGCCACTGGAATATACAGAAACTATATGTAAGTAGCTGGGTCCCCTAGGGCAACTATTGCTACAGAGATACCTCAAAACAAAGATTTTTTTTTTTTTT